CGCCCCTCGGTGGTGGCTTCTCCGGTTTCCACCGCAGGGATACACCTCGGCTCTGGCCCGGGCCAACACCTCAGGGGAAGGACCAGGTTTTCGACACGCCTCGCCCTGCCGGGGCCACTCCTGCTCCGGCCACCTGCCGGCGCGCGTCACGCGTCGTTCACCCACCTCCCCCGCTGTTTCTACGAACCCCCGCCGCCCCCAAACCCATCCTCTAAAAGAAAAACACACAGAAAAACGGGACGGCTGTCTTAATTCGGAGGATATGATATCTCTTTTGCCGAAAAAAAGTTTTCACTTCATGATTGAATTAGCCCCGAAAACACGCCTGCTGTGCTCCCTCCTGATATGATCCAAATGATGACGGTTTCCTTCTGAGACTTAAGGCTCGGGCGGAGGTTATTACCAGCTTGAATCCACCTCGCAGAAGGGAGGAGGAGGAGGTAGACAGTGAAAAGAAAATGGAAACATCCGGAAACAGCAAAAAAATATAAAAATAAAGGGCGCGGGCGCGTGGGAGAAAAAAAAACTGGCCGAGGTAATAGAAACGGGCAGTTAATCCATCATTTCATGAGGACTATGCCTCCGTCCGGCTTAAAAACTTTTCAAACTACAGCGGCACGGGGCGGCGGGGCGGGGCGGAGCGGGGCGGAGCAGCAACGAAAGTATCAATATAACTTTTATCTTGCATCCAGATCCAATTACGCGCCGACTCTGCGCGCGGCGCGGCACACGGGGCAGGCAGAGCCTTTACAAAGTCCGGTCAAAAAGCGTGCGCCGCTCCGCCGTGCCTCCGCTCCGCCCCCACCCTGGCCCCCGCCCCCCACGCCTCGCCCCGCCGGCCGGACGGCAAATCAAATTTGTTCCCTCTGAAAAATTCCTCCTCCTTTTCTTCTCTGCGCTGGAATAACCTTTCCCCTGCTCCCGGCCGGGCTGTGCTCTGCCCGCCCCCTGCCTGTCTGCGTTCCGTGATAATAGAAGACGAACGGGAATTACTGTTGCGGTGTGTGGCCGCCAACAGCGGCGGGGTCGCCCAGCGGGAGCCCGGGCCCCGGCCTCGGCCGTGGCTCGGCTCGGATCGGCCGGGCTGATATCTTCGGGCTCGGCCTTCTCAACGAGGTCATAAACCCAGTGCCTTATTGCCGGCCAGCCTGCATCCCCCGCCTGCTCTCCCTCTCGCCCTCCTCCACCTGGTCGACGGGGCGGCGGCCAGCACCGGCCCAGGCCTCTCTCTCTCCATCCCTCCGCCCGCTGAGGCGAGGGTGGCGTAACTCAGGGGCGCCTCAGCCGAGCGCGCGGGGCGGCCAGAGAGCGAGACGCTGTTGCTGCCGTGCGGTTTGCGTACCTACACTGAAAAAAAAAGTCGTACCCTTAAAAGGTTAGGAAGGGTTGAGAACCATCTACAAATTTCTTTCGCAAAGCGCTCGCTTCATCATGCGTGTAACCTAGCTCTTTTGATTTAAGAGTGCACTCAATACACGTATATGCACATTTAGTGACGCATACGTTGACACATGCAGGAATACTGACAAAATTGTGCAAAACTCAGCACCACTTTGTGATGATTTGCGCACAAAAACGGAGATAAATATTCATGTCGTTAATTAAATGTGATTTACTGTGCACGCTTTCAGGTAGATTGCTGAATACGTTGCCCGCCCACCAGTAGCTACCTGTTAAGATCCCACGAGGAAGTTCACGACCCCTCCCCCACCCACAGAGGCATCAGGAGAGTGGGGCGCCGCCGCCTCTCCCTGCCGGCCGCAGCCGCCTTGCCATTCTCTTGCTCGCGTTGCGTCCCCTCGTCCCTCTGCTTGTGGCGTGTGGTGAAGGCAAACGAAAAAGGGAAACAAACGCTTTTCCCTTCCCGATTTTTCCCTGCCCCGCGCATGTTTCTTTATCTAATTTCTGAGGTGCGGGGCGCGCTGGTGGCGGGTCTCCCTCTCCCCACCCGGGCCGAGGTCCCCGCGCCGTGCGTGAGTACGCGCGCGTGCGTCTGCCGACGTTGTTTGCCAAAGACTTAGCAACAAGTTTTCGACCGTCTTTGGGAGGGAAATTCCCTGCCGCCTGCTCGCTCGCGCCTGCTCAGCCGCCCCGCCCCATGCTGGCTCGCGGTCATTAAATTACGGCCGTGAGATGCAGTCTCCTCACGGCGGCCCGTTAGTCCGCCCGCCTCGCTCTGTATGCAGCAAACCAAGCGGCGGCGTATTCTTCGCCTACTCTGCTGCCCCCCTCCAACCCCCGCTCTAATTCCATTGCAGCAAAGGAGACCATCACCATCGGCTGCTCGCCCCACCCGACTCGAACTGCTGCCGTGTTGCCCGCGTAGGGGTTGCTGGTACAGTCGGGTAGTGAAAAAAAAGGATGAGATTCTGAGTTTCTCATAGACAAAAAAATTGCGACCGTAGTTGGGGGAGGGGGTGAAAAAGTCCGCAGGCAATTATGAAAGATAAATTAACTTCATCGACAATAACCAGAAGTCTTCCCCCCTTTTTTTTTACTCCTCCCATGACCGTCTCGTTTCTTCCGTCTCTTCTTGTACTTGTTTGCCAGCGCGTCTCGCCGCACCGACGTACACGGACGCTTTTTAAAAAAAAAGGGAAAAGAAGGGGGGGGGGGCACTTGCCTGGGTTGACATTAATTCTCGGCAAAGAAGAAAGAGGCGGGCAGGAGCGGGGCCGGGCGCGGCTGGAGGGTGTCAGGGTATGCTGACCCCCCCCCCCCCCTTCCGGCCCCGCCCGCGGCCAAGATCTTGCCCCGACGCGACCCAGCAGCGTCCGCGGGCAGAGTCGTCAACAACTTCGTCAAGTACGACAAGCAGGGGACATGTTACGTCGGGGGGTGCGGGTGGGTGGGTGGCGTCTGCTGCTGCGGCCCTGCCATTAAGCGCCCTCGAGCAGGACCACATGGAGAGAGCTGACCGCTAAAATGAGTGATGGTGTGAGGCCAGCAAGCCAAGAGAGCCAGGCGGGGCCAGTGGGGCCGGGGCCCGGGCGCCGTCCAAATGCGTCGGTGGCGAATGAAGGTCAACGTCTCTACTGTGCGAGTCTCACGCCACCGTCTTTCTCCTTTAGCCGGTCCCTCCCTCGATGTGTTCCAAAAACCCCTCCCTCTCTTTTCTCCAACATCTTAAAGAACCGGCCTAAACCCCGGAGATGGGTCGTTCGGCACGGCTCGGCAGCCCTCCGCCTTCCCCTACCTTCACGTCACGACAATGACCACGAAGCCCCCTGCCGCTGCTGGCTGCTGCTGGCCTGTGCGAGCTCGGTCTTTCACAACCATCATACCAGCCCATCTCAGGCTTTGTGATTTCGTGTAAAATAACTCTTTCAAGGGTTGCATGGTGGAAACCGGCTTTCCTCGCCTTTCCTTGAAATATGTTTTTCTGCTCTCTCAAAGCAACCGCGCAGTGTTTGGATTCGTTGTTTGCTTGTTATAATGTTTGTTTTCAACGCAGATTCGAAGCACGTTCGGTAACCGAATATTTCTGTCATGCGTGTCGCTTTACGTCCGCGTTTTAGATATATAGGTCACCGGATCAATAAGCAGACCAGGTAGCGGCTATGACGTTCTCAACGAGTTCTGGAATATTTACACATGAGGTTACCAGGAAAAGCATACATATTATTTTAACAATTTTTAGTAGACTGAAAAGCTCTTCAAATTAAGCTGTCCACACATTTTAGGAAAGATATAAGAAAGACCGGACCACAAAGCCCCAATCAGGCGCAGCGCGGTAAGGTGGCGGTGCGCGGTGTGCCAAACACCCACCGCCGCCGTGCGGCCTGCCCTGTGCGACATATGGGAAGGAGGGTGGACTTTGCCTTCTGGAAGAGGCAATCTTGGGGACTGTCTCAAAAGTGTTGTATTCCTTACTTTAGTTTTGTTTTGAAAAAGAGAGCATACCGCGTCTGCAAACGTTTAATTTTCAACCTGACTTAGGGAAGTAAACAGTCAAACGTTTCAAGAACGCTGTAAAAACCGCTTGCTCTTCCCTCATTGTCGGATATCTGGGAATTCTTATGCGATCACCCGACTGACCTCACAACCCTCACTTGTGACCTATCGTGAGCCAGGCGCAGTAAAAGGGGGCCCATAGGCTCTAGTGAGCCGTCTGACATGTAGGCCACAAAACCCCAGTAAGTAAGCAACCCACGGTCAGCCGGACCTCACACCGCGCCTGAAGTGAGCGGCATTCCGTCCCTCCTCACGGCCAGCGCGCAAATCTGCCGCCCTCTGATCCGAAATAATTGCATGCCGCCCTGCCGGGCCCTGCCGGGGGGCGGAGGGGCGCCGGCAGGGACTCGTCTCTGTCGCCGTGTGTTGGAGGGAGGAGAGAGAGATCACACGTAGCCCAACAGAGCGGCCGGGACCAGCAGCGGTCCCTGTGTAACGAGACACGCGACAGGTGAGGTGCGGGCCTACACGAGCACACTCACAAACACACACACACGCATGCATGCACACTCACAAACGTTGTGCGCATAAAGAGAACGAGAGGGGACGGCGGAGCGGGAGCGCTCTTAATTGCGTGGGATCCGTGCAGTGCTGTTTGCTGCCGCCTATACCCCCTGCCTAACGTACACGCACACACACACGCGTACACGCACACGCCGCGCCACCACACGTCACGCATGTCCGTCAGGCCCAGCCCGGCCCTATACACTCTGCCAGTGTACACGCCCCGCAGAAGCGACGCACGCGGGGCCCTTTTTGACAAAAAATGTCGCTGATCAAATCAGGGGTGCAGGGCCGGGTGAAAGAGGGGGCGCTGTCGGCATTGTACTCGTGACCACACCGCCTAGCCTCGCCCGACCACCATACCGCCTTCCCCAGCATAGCGGCTTGGACGACCCGTGCTGGCTCCAGCAGTGTTTACGCGATTCTTGAAAGTTGTTGAAACGCCCCCTTCTCTGCTCTCCATGTTCAAGTAGCTCTCCAACCATTTTCTGGTACCTCTTTGACCGCTTTCTAACAAGCACCCGCTCCCGTCTGACCCGCAGGTCGTCCGGACAGCGTCCTCAACTGCTCGGTGGCCAACACGTCCATGACGTCCTTCTCGGTGCGCTGCTTCGAGGGCTTCAACGGCGGGCTGCCGCAGTCGTTCCTGCTCGAGGTGCGCGACCCGGTCAGCCAGGCTCTGCGCGCCAACGTTACGTCGGGCTGGCCCGCCTTCCAGGTGGACCGGCTCGAGGCGGGCGCCTCGTACCAGGCCTGCGTCTACTCCGTCAACAGCAAGGGCCGGTCCGACCCCGTCATCCTGCAGGCCTCCACCATCCGGCCCGCCGAGAAGCAGCTGCACCCCGACAAAGGTGAGTGCACGGTCAAAACAATCATGCGCAGCCTTGCTGGCTGGACGGTTGATTGGAGATTTGGAAGCTTTGTAAAGCAACTTCTTTGTAATACAAAGCATTTCATTTGCAGCTCGCATATAAGTTTGCATTATAAGCTTACAAAACATTTGCAAGTGCCAAATGTTGCGCAGTTTACAAAGTACTTTTTGTTTGTAAGGATTTAAGAGTGTGGGCGCACGGCTTACGTTAGGCCACACGAGGACGCGCGCGCGCGTCGGGTTGCCTATCCTCTAATCGATGGGCGCTCATCACTGCCTTCCGGCAACGGATTCCTTAATAAAATCGAAAAAACGATCTCGTGCTTACTCGGATCGCTCTGGTCAAGAATAAAATTGCGAAAAGTCTTGTCCTGAGTGAGGTGTAACCTGATACTTCATCGGTATAAAGAGTTAAAAAAGCGCGTACCCCTTTCTTTACATGTTTAATTGTTCTCACTTTACCCTTTACCAAAAAGTTTTTTGCGAAGTAAGGCTGGTCCGACGATTCTTTGACGTCAATATAATGCTACTGTATGTTTCGCACACAACAGTTCGGTGAATCTAGTACACTACGCTGGAGGTGAAACACGGAAGCTCGGAAATCATTTCCTGTTATTTAATTTTGCGCGCTGACCCCTTAGCTCCCCTTCCAACTCCCTTTCCCCTTTCCTTCCTCTCCCCTCCGCCTGGCTGGATATCGTGCGGTGGTCACATACGGGAGGTAATAACACTAGCCCCCCCCCCCTCCCTGCCCTCGCAGCAGCCAACCAGCAGGGCCAGTAGCAGCCGCCCGTGCGCTGCTGCTGTGTTCCGCAGTGCCATACGTTTTCAAACAAGCGGCAACGAACGAACGTGCGTTTAGCAGCGAGCAAGGCGCCCGCGCCGCGCCACAACACGCCTACCCCCGGCATAACGTGTATTGCGCGTTGTGCCCCGCAACCCTTTCTGCCGCCACCTACCACCACCTACCAATTCACGCCCGGCCCTCGCCCCGGGCCTGCCCGGGGGGCGCCCGCTCTTTGTTCCTCCTTTCTCTCTCTCCCTCTCTGCTCTGCCCCTCCCTCGCTTGCCACCTTTGCGCCACCGGCATGGCCGCCCACAGCGCCCCGCGTCCACCAAATTGCTATCAGGGGCGGAGTGAAAATTGCGCACGACGCTACACGTTAGGAATAGGGGAGGAGGAAGTCCTGAATGTGAAATGAAGTGGGAAGAGGGAGGGGGTGGGGGTGCGGCCCCGTGGGCAAGGGGAGGGAGGGATGGACAGGAGGCTGGGCCGGGAAGGGGGGAGGAGGAAGGGAGGCGATCTGTAAGAAATAGGCCTCGAACCTCCCTCTCCCGATGGCGCGCAGCTAGGCTGGGAAGTCGATGCGTCGGCTCGGAGTAGCCCTGGAGCTGGCGATGGTCGGTGTACTGCCCTTGGCCAGCTCTCCCCGTCCCTCACCCCTTCTCCTTGACACCACATGCACTGACACCATCCGAGGGGTGTGGAGCTTATGGACACAATCCGTGTACACCGGGACTTACTAGAAATCATACTAGACAATATTCGATTGACAATAGAAATTTTAGAAAATATAGCGGTTGGGAGGCGACTATGTTTCACTGTAAACTTCAACATGAGTAAAAACGTAATCAGGTTCAGGCAAGGTGTCTTTCACCAAACACACAAGACACTTGAAAATTCATATTTTTTCAAGACTGACTCCGAATGTCTTAGCCTCTCTTCCGTACGTACACACACTTATTGTTTTCACAATATTGTTGCGACACAATCGCGAGTAGACTTTTTGCTACAGTTCACTACCCACTCCCCAAAGGCGGGTAGAGACGCGATGCGATGGGTGACTCGACGTCGTCTTTTTGTCGCAACTTTAAGACGCCACCCGAGGCGCTCCGGCTCTGGGGTCAGGAAACGAAGGGGGCGGGAGGGGGAAGCATTCGCGTGCCAGCCAGCGGCGAGCACACGGCAAACGCACTGTGTGGTCTGAGTTCGAGTTGCAAAAAAAACAAAACACACACATCTTGGAGAAAAGGGTGGCGGCGGCAGCATCTACGGCGCCTCACAGACGCCAACGTAAACTATATTAAAATTCAAGAGATTTTTTCTGTTTAAGCTGTGGCTTTATCGTAACCTCTTGGAAAATGTCTCGAGTGACTACACGTTATTCGAACAATTAGACGAACCTGCGTAAGTAAGTCGTATAGCGCCTGATCGGTAGGCAACTTCTCGCGATGCGATTCATGCGTGTATTGCGGGCTGGTCTAGCCTGCATCTCGCAGGCGCCGAGCTCCGACGTCCCTCAAGTTTCGTTCGTTGTTATACAATAAGTCGAGGGGGCCACGGCCACCACTCGCATAATCATGTGTACAGATGAGGGTGTAATCCTTACGTAATCCTTATCTATTCCGTGTAATCCTTGACCAAATTTTAAAACGTTATCACTAAATTTCACCTTATTGTCCAAATTTGATGGTTTAAGAGCCTGAAATTCAACAAAATTCACGTGTTATCTCTGTTTTAATCCTGTGTACATCCTCAATCGATGTGGTGGCCCCCTCGCAATAAGTTGCGACGCCCTGGCGCCGTGTTACACTGTTCGGCTGATCTGAAGATGAGCCTCGTCGTATGCCCAGGGCGCCCGGAGCCCCGCGGTGACTTCTGATTTGCCGTCGCTGTGGCGAGCATAACGGGTCGTGGCCCACCCCGCCCCGCCCCGCCCGCGCACCCTGGAGGACAGAACGGCCGGCCCGCCGCGCATACCAACGAGCTAGGGACTATGGCGGGAAGTGCAGTGTCACCAAAGTGCAGGCGCTGCAGGCCATGATCGAGCCCGCGCCGGCGCCGCTCAGCCCGGCCAGGTCGCAGGGAGACACCAGGGGGCCCCCGGAGGTCACAGGAGGCCGCGCGGCCACCCTGCGGAGCGCATCCAGCCCGCGACAGCCCCGTAGGGTACTTCAGTCACCGCCAGGCCGCCGGGGAGCGAGGCAGTCGTTCTCCACTCGCCAGGAATTCTTGGAAGCCTTTGGTGATTGCTCCTTCCAAGGCTGCGCGGCGCCGCCGCCGGCCGGGGCACCAGATCATGGCTGGCCGAGGGATCCTCCACCCAACTTGTTGTACACGTGCCCACGTCCCAACTCGCATCGAACCCGCGAAAACTAATATTTACTAGCAAAAATTTGCGAAAACGTGTGCAAAACTCTCAAAAAATTCATCCCAACTTACGCCCAATTTACGCCCAACTCGTGCCAACTCGTCAACTCGACAACTCGTTGTGCTCTTATTTTGAAAGTAGGGGAACCCTCATGGCTGGCGGTGGCAGACGGGGGCGGCGCGTCCGCTGTGTGCTTGGGCTGGATGCTCGATCGTTCGGGCCATGGTGCTGCTGCTGTGGGTTCGGTTCGATGCTCCAGAAGAGATTGGGTCGAGATCGAAGTCACGAACCCTTGCTTCTGCTAACGCCCCAGAGTACCGTCACTAGTCCGCCACGCGTGCGCCGATGGAAAAGAGGAGGGGGATGAGCACGACGGGCGAGCCGTGAACCCCAGCGTCGGAGGAGAGCAGAGAATGTGGATTCCAATGAAGAACACGTTAGTGTTATTCATTTGTTTCCATGGGGGGAAAGGAGGAAAAAGGCGTACAGCTGCACGGGGAAATACGATGAGGAATAGTCGCGAAATAATCGACATTGCCGTCGTGAAAAACCTCAAAATCACGTTCGCTTTGGTCCCAAATTCCCCTAAGTTTCAAAGTATTTGTTCTACAGTGTTGAAGAAATGGCGGTGGTGATCGTTCCCCTGTATGGACACGCTGCTCCTGGCAGAGTATGCACTCTCAGGTGCGCCGCAAGATGCCCCAGCCCGTGCGTACACCCTCCGGGTGAGGGCCGCAGCGAGCCGTCCCTTCCGCTCCGCACACACCCTCGTGGCCCGAGCACGCCCCGCCGCTCCCCACCACACCCCCGCCCCGCCAATGAGACATTCTGATGCGCAGCCCGTGTTCGCACAATGGCTCCAATCTGGTGCATGGCGGCCCTGCCGGGCCCTGCCCCGCGCGGCCCGCCCGGCGTCCTGCCACGGCCCCCACTGGTCCCGACCCAAACACGCCCCGCCACGCCCCGCCACGCCCCGGCTAAGGCTTTGGGGCTCAACCGCGCGCCGCCCCGCCCCGCCGCCCCCGGCGGAAAATGGCAAATCCCAGCAGCGCGCGGCACGGCGCGCAGCGTCACCGGTGGAAACCGAACCAGGTCAAGGAGCAGTTTTGGAGCCGGAGCGGCGCGCTGCACTGCTGCCTCCCCCGCCCCGCCCCGGTTTTATTCAGCAACAAGTCGTTTTATTTTGATCGCGGCGGGTCGGGCCGCCGCCGCCTCCGCGCCGCCGTCCCCAGGCGCCCCCTCCTGCCCGACGTGGCAGCGGCGTCGCGCCGCGAGGTTAGGGCGGCGGCGCCGCTGCGCACCTCGGCCCCCCAGGCGCCGACGAGGGCGTTCCTTCCCCGCCCCGCCCGGCCCCGTGCACCCATCACGCATTTAAAGGGCTGACACGGGGTCATATCAGCTGCGTCCCCGCGCCGCCGCCAGACCGTCGCCTCCACCTCAACACGTATGTGACCCACTTTCAAGGGAAGACGGGCGAAATATGGCGGCGCTCTTCGCGGGCCGTCGTCTTTCCGTGTCCGGATGAGCGAATGGACGCGTGCTGACGAGGAGGGGGGCAACTTCGGGGAATTGGTGGGCGGGGTCCGCGCGGGTAGTCTGGCCGCCGCGGCCCGCGGCCCCAGCCGTGCACCAATTAGTGCCCTCTCCTCACGGACGGGTGCTGCTGGCGTCGCCGAGGAGTCGCGTCTCCGCTCGCCTTGGCGTCGTCCTCGGCGCGGGGCGGGGTTGTCTGTCTGGGCGCGTCGCCTCTCGGAACCACATCGTTAGCCCGCGTCGCGCAGCGGCACCAGCGGCCCGCCCAGCGGCGGCCACGCAGTCCGTGTAATTATCGCGCCGCGCCCCAAAGACGCTCCCCGTCAACGGTTCGCCGCCCTCCGACCTCGCGTCGTAAAATTTGAAATTGTTAATTTACAAGCAGTGCACATCGACTTTGAATTGGTCCACATTTTATTTTCAAAATAGTCTTAGGTTACGTCAACATTTTCCACGATGTGGTTCTTGAAATTACAATTTGAAATTTACAACACACTGCGTGTCGTTTTAGAATTGATTGACAACCAAGAATTGGCTGTCGTGTCGTCATAACATTGGCTTTATTTGTTTATTTACGAAATCTGTCTTTATTCCCCGCAGGCGAGCCCCGGTCGGCGTTCCGGCTCACGCCGCTGACGAGCACGCTGGTGGGCGGCGTGCTGGCGCTGTTCGTCATCGCGGCCGTGGTGTGCGTGTCGGTGCGCGCGCGCTGCTGCACGGGCGCCGACAAGCGGCGGCCGCGCGCCAAGGAGGCCCCCGAGCAGGACGACAAGGGCTCGCTGCCCGGCGCCGGCTCGCCGCACTCGGCCAAGCTGGGCGACTCGAGCGGCGGCGACGGCACCACCGACTCGGACGAGAAGAACCCCGACATCATCCCGCAGGCGGGCGCCACGAGTGAGTACCGCGGCAAGAACCACACTCTGCAGCCACGACTTTTTACATTCGTTTATCTGGCTACTCACAGACCTGAAGTCTCAACGTAGATGTCCAAAGTTAATGTTTTAGACCTGCCCAACCTTGCCTTATTTTGAAAAATGTGAAAAATTGTAGCTAGGCATAGACTATTTTAGCTTCATGCTGGCCGGGAAAATGGGCTGTCTCATTGATTTCTGCAGCAGGCCTCCCAGACACGAACAATCTGGCGAAGCAAATATTTTATCTGATGAGCCGTTGGGAGCGAGAAAGTAAAGAACGGTCGGCGTTACGTTGCAGGAGGGTGTGGATGGGAGGGTGTTAAGGGGGGAAAGGGGGGGGGGCTGCTGCGCCTACCTAGAGTTTGAGAGTGTCGTGTGCCGCAGGGAATACGGGCCTCTTGTACGCACTACACCACGAGCACCAACACCGCCGCGTAGCCGAGCACAGCCCGGGGCTGTGTGGGGGGCGGGGGCAAAGTGTTGAGTGTGGCCGTGTCAACGGCCCCAGCACCAGCACCAGCACGGCAGGGCGCGGCACTAGGCACGGCACGGCCGATACCTCGGTCGGCAGCCCCACCCTGCTTACACACCTGTCCTGGTCAGGCCTGGCCCGGGCGCCTCTCCACACACATGTAGAGGGTGGAGAGCCGAGGCGGGGACACGCCCCGATCTATTTACACCTGGGCCAGTAAATCACCCTCCCGTGTGCGCGCCAGCGCGTATGCGTGTTCGCCTTTTTTTATTTTTTATCGTTTTTCTTTGCAATATTTCCCCCTACCTATACTTTTTTGTTTGAATTCCATTTGTTTGTGTGTGCTTGCGCAGCAGCAGCGTGCTAACGGGTCGTGTCTCTGTTGCAGCCGCAGACTCGGCCGACCACTCGGACCTGGTGCGCCGCCGCCAGCACGTGTCCACCATCGAGACGAGCGGCGTCACGTCGCCGTCGCGGACGCTGCTGCAGGGCGTGCAGCAGGGCTACCCGGGCTACTGCACGCTGCGCAACGGCATGCCGCCCGCCATGCAGGGCGCCATGCAGGGCGCCATGCCGCTCCAGGACCTGGGCGGCCACCCCAAGCCCAAGATGGTTCGTATGTCACACGATCGTGCGCGCCATTTGGATAAAGTAGTGACAGGTGAAAAAGAAAATCGCGAGGGGTGCCCAACTGAGGTAATCAGGTGTACACAGAGTAGGTAATCCCTGGTAATCACCGGTAATCATTGGTAATCGCCAGTAATCCTTGGTAATCGCCGGTAATCCTTGGTAATCGCCGGTAATCCTTGGTAATCGCCGGTAATCCTTGGTAATCACCGGTAATCCCTAGTAATCGCCGGTAATCCCTGGTAATCACTAGGTAATCGTTGGTAATCACCAGGTAATCGTTGGTAATCATCGGGTAATCTTTGGTAATCACTAAGTAATCCAGCCAGGAAATTCCTGGAAATCTTTGGTAATCACTGGTAATCTTTGGTAATCACTGGTAATCTTTGAGAATCACTGGTAATCTTTGGGAATCACTGGTAATCTGTGGTAATCAATGGCAATCTTTGGTAATCTCTGGTAATCTTTTGTCAGTGGTAGTCTTCGGAAACCCTTGGTAATCATAGGTAATCTTCGGTAATCTTTGGTAATCCTTGGTAATCGTCTCTTTTTGGTAATCAGGTGTACACGATTTTTTAGAGTTGGGCACCCCTCGGAAAATCGCCTTCTTTGAAGTCATGACAACTCACAAACTCCCGAAACGAGCAAAATTTATACCGGTTGAAATTAAAGCGTTGACATACATTGGAGTCAGAATTTCCGTGAAAACCCGGCTTTGAAACTTTCGACGTGTTTTCTCAGTATTATAAATACTAACGCTGGATTTTGTGCCGAGAAATGATTGAGGTCTTTCGCTTTCATACGAAACATGTATGCAAAGGACGGATCTGGCGTGTATAGGTAGCGCGTGCAAGCTTGTTTCCGGCCGTACTGATGGCCGAAGACCCACAATATTTCAAAGGCCGCGATAAAAGAAAGTCCCCTCAGCCCGCTCGCCTGCTCGCCCGCCCACCCTTCTCCGCACCCTCCCCTCTCGGATAGTCCGGCCCGCGCAGCATCGGCAGTGTATAGGAAGCTAAGCTCTCGATAACTTTACGATGCGGCTCAAGCGGCACTAGAAGGGCTGTGAAAAGGACGGGGCCGGAGGGGGAGTGGTATCGGTGGTGGGGGGGGGGGCGCTGAATGTGCCGAGGAGTGCGGAAATGGAGTCGGTGCTCTTCCGGCCTCCGCCTCCAAACGGCACTTGCAGCGAGAGCGCAAGGAGACGGAGCTTTTGTCGTTGAGACGCAGGTAATAATGATAGACGGCTGGGTGGGAGCCCCCCAACCCCGTGCTCGCGTCTCCCCTCCCGCTCTTCAGGAGCTAACGATGTCATTTCCAGAACCATTTGCGTAACGAGGCGCCAACAGCGGGTTATTATCACCAACTAGTGTTATGCATGGAATCGGAGCCTCATTGGTTGCCTACCTGGCGGGCGTTAACGATCTGCGTGCGCCGGCCGCTCGGCCCCCTAAACCCTCTCGCTCTGCGCGCAGTTGGAAGTGGTGGGGTGGGACCCCCGCCGCACCTGCCCCTGGCCGGGCTCCCCGGCCTCCAGCATGGCCGCTGCTGCGGCGCTGGCTGGCGTGGCGCTGGACACACCCTCTCGACCGCCACGCCACGCCGACCCCATCCGCACAATGTGCTCTGATTTATTGAGAGGCGTTTAACACCTGTTACAGGCCGATGTAGTGGGAGCCTCCCCGCGTCCAAAGGTAGAGAGTGGCTGGGGGGGAGGGGGGGGGGCAGCCGGCAGGACAAATGGGGGGAAGCGGAAAATAACAAATGGTGGTTTAGAGAAATGGGGAGGGGGGCGGGGGTGGACAAACATGCTTTTAGCCGTTAATGGGCAAGATGATAAGGAAGGTTGCGAGAGAGCGGCCCTGCAGCAGCGGGGCCCGGGAGGCTGGCCCAGCCCGTCGGCCGCCCGTCGGCCGAGGCGTGGCCGCCGACATGAGGGAGGACCCCGGCGGCCGCAGTGCGGTGGACAATTTCCGTGCAGGGCGGAGTCTGTGCAAATTTGTTCTGCGCCTCCGTGGACCAGTGCATGGCCGCGCGCTCGTACGGAGGGCTATGTGGGGTGAGGCGGCCGGGCCAGGAGGGCTGGGCAGCAGCGGGCGGGCGGGAGAGAAGGAAGGGGGAGATGTATTGTATGAGTATTTGTACAGCGTCCGGAATATTCTGCCATGAAATAATGACCCGAGGCCCAGCTCCGGGGAGGCGGGGGGGTCTGAGCTGAGGGGGCGCAGCGAGATAGCTGTTGGTGCTGCTCATCCGGACCAAACGCCAGCCCAGGACCGTACCATGGCTTCATTATCCTAGACAAGTTCCGCGCGGCCTCGCCGGCCCGGCCATACCCGGCCCGGGCCATGGGGGCGTTTACTCTACCTCATTATCCGCCTCGCCTTCCGTAATGCCATTACGCATCTCCGACAAAAAGGGCGCGGCGGCGCGGCATACGGGCCCCGGGCCCCGGGCCACCCGCTCTGATTGTCATCTCCGCCCTGCAGCGCACTAACATCTCTTTTTTGCTCTCTGTCGCTACAGAAGCCGGTGGACATGTCGGCGTACTCGGCGGGGGGAGGCTGCCCGACGCTGCCGCGCGGTGGCCACTGGTCGTCGTACGGCGTCCGCATGATGCAGGGCTACCCGGCGCCCGGCAGCGTGCCCGGCGGCGGCGGCGGTGGCCCCGGACACGCGGGCACCCTGCTACTCAGGCACCCGCACCACCAGCAGGGCTCCTACATGGGCCACCCGGGCCACGGGCTCGGCCCCGGCGGCCTCGGCCACGGTCCCGGGCACACGCAGACGCTGCCCAGGCACCACGGCGGCCTCCACCACCCGTCCAGCATGGCGGGGCTCGGCGGGATGCAGGGCCTGCACCACAACATGCAGCTGCAGGCCATGGCCGGAAACAGCGTGGGCGCGCCGCACGGCCTCCAGCAGCCGCAGCAGCACGCGGCGCCCTCCTCGGACGAGGACCAGCCGGGCGTCGACACGCCCCTCATGGTGTCCAAGCGGGAGAGCACCGTCTGACAAATGACCTCCCTGTAAGCCCCTGCGCCAGCGACCCGCTAGCGCCCGGCACAGGGAGGATCTCGTCAGGCCGACAAGGACCTTGTACATTGCCTTGTGACTTCCACATGTGTTGTACATAACTCTTTTTTTATTGTACATTTGAATCAATTTGTTGTGATGTTCCTCGATAGGGAAGATTGTGTTTTGAGGGACGAGTTGAGTGAGCGATACGGGACAGTGTTAGTGTCTTTCGGGCGCCGCCCGCCGCCCACCTCGCCTCAGTCTTCAGTGTTTTCGTCAGAGACATATAGTGCATTGTTTCGTCAAGACTGCCACGACACGTGCACAATTGGAAAAACTGCGCTCGTCGGACATTTTTTATGAACTCGTGAAAGAGATGGTTTGAAGTGGTGGGGCTTCCCTTTCACCGTACACTGCCCTTGTTTTTGAGATGAATTTGTTTTGTGTTATCACTACGAATGGGTAAAACACTTCCATAATTTCATGTGAATAAATGGATTGACAATTATCTGTACAGCCGTTAAAGGATATGCTTTTGTAAAAATAGTTACGTAAGTGCATCTCAGAACACTGTGAAATCATACATACCATATCTTGGAATGTACACATGTTGGAGTGGTTTACCCTTTGATCTCTACTACCCTGCTGATTATTATTTTCTAAATCGTGTTTGTAAAAAAAATAAAACTATGCTTTTATGCATAGCAGAAGATATAAGGAACATGTTTCAACTTTTTTCTATACGAGACATACCATCAAGTATGAAATGTTACTTCAGTTGTGATATATTACATCAGTCTTGAAGTCGTTGTTTTTTTGTACTACTACAATACTGCAAATTTTAATGAAAGGCCATTTTCCATTCATTCTTTGATACACTAATATAAAACAACTATCACTCATTTATGTTTATTGACGCATTGCAGAACAGAAATTTATGGCAATAAAAAAGGAGGTGGTGAGCGAAATGTATACTGAAAATAAGGGACCTCTACAGGATATTTTCAGTTATTTTATTATGACCTACATGCTATTAAATTGAGGCTCATTTTTCAGTTTTGAATTATTATTACACTCATCGTAAAGCCAAACTTGTTCAAATTTTAGATTGATAACATAGAACAACACGGATATTTCTCCTGATTAAAGGACCGTCATATTTGTATTATATCAACAATACTATATTTCTGTTGTGCTCAGACAAATTCCAATTCCTTACTAGCCTCCTCATAATTTTCAATTCAGCCATAAATTCCGTCTGCTATTTGGGTCTTGTTTCCAAAATAAGCAATTAAAATCTGCTTTTTTGGATGAGGTGATAGCTTGAGCCTAGAAGGCCATCACTCACTTCTCCCTCAAGTATTTCTGTAACTAGATAACAGTTACAGGATTGATAATGATGATGTAATTTAAAGAATATAATTTTAACAAAATGTACCTTAGGTTTCTAAAGGCAAAACTTTTTATTCTATTTCTTTGTATTTATGTATATAAGAGATATTTTTCAATAAAAAGATAATATTTAAAATGTTAAGAATGTTTTGTGTACCTCAGTAATCACGAGTAAAGAGCACCCCAAGAAAAGAGTCTGTTAACACGATGAGCCCCCTACATGACCATAATTGCACGTAAAAAGGTCGCCCCCACCACCACCGTCCACAACCCCGGCCCTGCTTCTTTCCCCCCTGGGACTCAACGTGTCAAATCTGGACCACCTAGAATTTTCCCATTATTTAAACAAACCACAAATGGGATTAAAACGGATTAAAATTACATTACGACGAGAGTACCCCGATGGAGAACAGAGGAGGGAACAAGTGGCGGTAAGATGAGAGGACACACGCGGCCAGCAGGAGAGAAAAAAATGAGAGATGAAAAAGGAGGGTGGTTTTCTCTCCTCACATCGTACTTTCGCCACACACAGGTTACGCCCCAGCCCGCCCGGCCAGCCCCCCGGCCAGGCCCGGTCTGCAGCAGTGGCGTTTTCCGGCCACCGTCACACGCTCATAAATTCTCGATATGAATGGCCTGGCCCGTGCTTTCGAAGGTTTGGGAAAATTGCGCTGCTAGGAGTAAGCCAGGGGAGTAATGGGCTGTGCGCCGCGCGGGGCGGGGCGGGGCGGGGCGGGGCGGCACCCCGCCGGCCACGCCCCTCACGAAACAATAATTTCCGCACTGCATTAGGGGCGCCGCCAGCCGCTTACAAAACTGAGCAACGCACGTTTACGTCCAAAAGAATTATTGTTTCCCAGGGCGAAAACAAGAAGAAACGCGCAGCTGCGTGATAGGCAGACGCGTTTTTGTTGTTGTTTATTATTTTCCAGGGCCTCATTGTAAGGGTTGCTGTTGTTTGATC